TTTCAAAGGTGTCTTTTAAAGGTCCTTATTCAGAAGTGAACCTGGGTGCCAATCAATTGATGCACCATACTAAGTGTGCTATTTATATAATCTGGCATACCTATTTTCAAAAGTATTATAAATGGAATCATATCAAACTTCAGGCCTTTGCAGATAACCAAATGAGCCATGTGATAAAAGTATTGAGAGAGAACTTGCCTGTCATGACTCAGGTCATAAATTTCATCCATGGCAACACACACACAAACACACACACACGGACATGCACATTCACGTGCATACACACATGCACATGCACATGCACACACACCCACATACACTTAAAACAAGATGCTAAAGGGAAGGCTCAGCATGGAAGGTGTTGACTTCACAATCATGAAGACCTCAGTTTTAATTCCGAGAACTAAAAGCTGAGTGTTTATTATCCTGTTGCTCAAGAAACAATAGCACCTTAGAACAAGCTGTCCAGCTACTCTAGATAAAGAGTGAGCTCTGGGTTCATTGAGAGAACCTGTTTCAAAAAAAAAAAAAAGAAAAGAAAAAGGAGAAAACCATAAATGAAGATACTCTCAGTATCTTCCATGGGATTCCATAAATAATACTACACATGGACACATATCAAACTGTAAAGAGGAAGTTGAACATCTATATGTGTCATTTCACATTCATGTCAGTAAGCATATGTACACATTCTCATATGGCACACACATACAAAAAAAAAGCTAAATCTATTCTTAAAAGTCCATGGAAATGTCTGTTCAAGAATTTCTCTACTGCTCTCAGCCAGCATACTTAATGAAGCTGATATTTAGTATTGATGGGTTTAAGTAGTAGGGTTATATGAAAAATTAAAATGACTCATTCAAATAGTTGCGTTAAAAAATTTCTATCTCTTTGTCTATTTTATTTCCAGAGTCTGTGACTTTACTTCTACAGAGAAAATTAAACTAAAATTTCAGAAGGAAAAGTTAAGGTAATTTATTGTGTGTGTAGTGTGTACATGTATGTGCTTGCATGCATATTTATGTTGGTATGTTGAGGCCAGAGGTCAGCATTATTTTCACCTTATGTTTTGAGAAATGTTTTCTAACTAAACTTGGAAATCACTAGTTTGACTAGACTGGCTAGCCAGCAAACACAAGAGGTCACCCATTTCCTATTCTCCAGAGTTAGGATTACAAGTATGGCCCCATGTCCACTTTTTCTTTTGTTTTCCTTTTTTCTTTTCTTTTTTCTCTTATCATATATATATATATATATATATATATATATATATATATATATATATACACGTACACGTACACATACACATACTAGGGAATGGAACTCAGATCCTCATGCCTTTATGGCAAATGTTCCATGTGCTATGCCATCTCTCATACCTAAGGCAATAAGACAATGTATTTGACCACAGCATATTTTGATATAAGTTCCAATATTAGGTAAGAAGGAGTATTTTTTTGTGAAATGTTTTTAAAATACCAGTTTGACGTACTCTCCTAGGCCTTTTCAGTGTTTAGACAGTATTTGCAATACACGGATATAGTTAATGATTTTTTACTTCTATTTTTAGCAGTGTATAAATTAAACAATGATGTTTAATATTGTTCTTTCAGAATAGATCTGACAAGGTTCACAATTCAAGTAAGAAAAAAATGAGAATCTTCTAAAAAAGTTAGTAAGAAAGGAGAAACAGACTGTAATTTCAAAAGCAAGTATAATTAGAAATAAAACTTAATTTTGACTAATGGGGCCTGGTCATTGTCAAGACTGTTGAGGGTTTACAGGATAGGGTGAGTGAAGTCTTTCCAAACAACCTGTAGCTCTAAGAACCTTGGTGATTCCATAGTTCTTTTTCTAAACACCCTAAAATTAGTCCAGTTTGTAAAGGCTTAATTTTCCATAGATGTATAAGAGTGGGGTGGTTGCCTTGAAAGGAAAAATAAAAACAAATAAACTTTTGAAATTTAAGTGAATCAACAGGTCAAGCAAGGTTTAGAGTCCTTTGCTAGCTGTTCCACAGGCACAGAGACAGGCTTCCTTGAAATGTTTCCTGAGTCATAGAGGGGCTGAGAGAAGGGCATTTAGATCTGAAGGAAATGAAACTTGGAACATTTTTAAAAACATGGAAACAAAATAACTCAAAACTGCAATTTTGTCTGAAAACAACCAGTTCTTATAAAAAACTCCACAGAAAATAAATGATCTCACATTCAATTTCACCCCTAAAGTCAACATAAAAATTTAAAATTGCTCCCATGACAGAAAGAATGCTTATTTCTCACTACAAACTCAACAGCAAAGCAAGCACAAATCTGTAAAAATTGATGTTGACTTCAATATTGAGAAAATAGATAGACAAGCATTCTAAGATTATTTTCAAAATGAAAAGCAGCCAAAGATCAGCCTCAGATTGCTGAGGGGTTCTGAGGAAGGGGTGTTTGGGAACAGCAAAAAAAAAAAAGACTCAAAAGTCAAATCACTGGGTAGAAGCTGACAGCCTGTGTTCTGTTTGACACGTCTTTCTCTGGAGATCATCAGACAGCTCAGCTCTGTAGACCAAAGCCCCAAATCTTTTATTTACATGCCAATTCAATTATCACTTCCAGGCTCCCTTTGATTATTCTACCAGTTAGCAATTTTGCTATTCACCCCTTGACTCCTAGGAAAAGAGATCAAGCTCATTTTTCTTAACATTGCAAATGAACCCAGAGATTTGTGCTTTTTTAAGCACAGACAATAAGATAGCTGGGTGGGATATCGCTCTGAGATTTCTACTCTGACCACATCTGGACATAAATTCTCTTTTTCCCAGGCTGACTTTGAACTCAGGAATCTGCTGGCTTTGTATCTTTCTGACAAGCTGGCTCGTACTGCAGCTGTCTCTGTTCTTTTATGTCCATGAAGCTCCTCATATCATTAATATTATATCTTATATTTTCCATAGTTGAGAAATCCTGTTTATATATTTTTGAACTCATGCTTTCAGAGTTCTTTCCCACAGCCTTGAGCAATGTTCTGAAGGTCATAGCATTTACCAGTTTTGTTAAGTCATAGCTTTGCCTCCTGGAAACTTGCTGTTTCTGAAGATCATAAAGTCATTAACCCTGGCAGATGGGATATTCAGTGATGATCGTGGCAGGGAGAATATTTCCCAAAGGAACAACATGAAGTTTTATAAGTATAATACAAACAAGCCTCTTGTCCAGCAACCATCAACACTCATAGAGACCCACACCCTGCTGGCTCTGTTACAAGGGCAGGAACTACATCACACAATCCCTTCAATGACCATGCAGGACTTGTCAAGAAGCCATGCCCAGTGAGAATATTGCAGCTAATGTTGTAAGTGACCCACATAAAGATTACAATAGACCATGTTTGCTAACTAACTAGGATATTTACCTTATTCGCTGTCTCAATTAGAGACTCAGATAAAGAATCAGCAGCAAATATCAATGAATCTAAAATACATTGTTTACAATAAGGTTGGGCTAATACTGAAAGATGACTTAAGTGAAGTCAAGGCTGGAGCCAAAGTTTCTTTGAAGAGGAAAGACTATGTTATATATCACCATGTGTTCATATTTTATGTTCTTTTAGAAAAAAAATTGTGATTTTTTTCTCCTAAATGAAAAAATAGCATTTATTAATATTATTTTATTCAAAGCATTGTTTCTATCTTCATATGCACATATAATTTCATACATGTGTTCATGCTCACAGAGGTGTGCCCTGGTGTGTGGATGTATGAAGCTGTCTTCAGGTATCTTTTTGTCTCTACCACTCATTATCTATTTAGTTAGTGTCTATTGTCTTTCCATCAAGTCTTTATAGCCAGCATGCTCTGGGGGACACGATGCCTGCCACCACAACTCCATGGCCTTTCTGTGGGTTTCAGGGATCTGAACTCCATCCTTGTCCTTTGACTGTAAGCACTGTGCATGCTTAGCCAAGTACCCAATCCCTAAACTCCAGCCTCTAGAGACATCTCCAGGTAGATATGCCTCTTGTCCCTGCTTTTTTTTCTTATGGTTTCCTGACAAGTTGTACTTATAGGAAGTTCACAAATGTGGGATTTCAGTGGGAAATAAAGTCCTATTTTATAACTTACAACATGTGTCAATCTCAAACTGATAATTACTGACAGTGCCAGTATAAGTCTAAACATTGCCATTTTTTTCTATATATTAATGTTTTTTGAACCTTGAATGATAGCTGTTCAGCACAATCAGAGAAGTATACATATTCCTCTCACATAATCTGACACTTAGCAACATTGTACAGGTGACATAGTTTAGTTATTTGAGCAAGTTACATAAACTAATGTTGGCAGAAATATCCTCAGCCATTATAATGGTGACTGTTAATTGTTAATTTAACAGAATCTATAGTCAGCTGATAGGTGAACATCTGAGCATGTCTAGGTGAACATCTGAGCATGTCTGTAGGGAACTATCTTGATTGTCCTAGTAGAGATAGGAACACCTGCCCACTGTGGGTGGTAGCATTCCATAGTTAAGAACCCAGAGAAAGATTATGGATGCTATGAGACCAGCCTCCTCAAGCCTACACAGCTGTGAATTTTCTGCTGGGATAGATGATAGCCTTAAACCATAAGAAAATTCTCACTTATATTGTTTTATTGTAAGAATTTTACCACATTGCAAGGGACAAAAGAAAGTAAGATAGCCAATGACACCGTCTTATTGACAACCAGATTTTTGTCACCATGTTTTCTAGTTTTATAGATCATATAAAAGATTTTGTCTTAAAATCATCAAAATTGCTAGTAAAGGTGAACTATATTGATATTCTGATTTCCCTTGGGATAGAACTACACTTGAATCAGGGCCTATGTGTAATCTCATTATTTCTGAATGGACACAGGTCAGTGATCAATCCCCCACAGATTGGGTACTGTAAGATGGCAGAGACACATACTGGTTAGTATTAACACATCTCATCTTTATTCACTGGAAAAGGAAAGAATTTCCTACCCAGATGCTGTCTTCTTGATTGTACTGTTGCCAGTTGTGCCCCGTGTCACTAAGCATCAGGCGATAGCTTGTCACCCAGTCAGAGCTCCCATATCTTCCCTGTGTGGCTATAGCTGTAATCTCCACTCTGTTTCCTAGGTCAATCTGGAGCCACTGTTGGGCATTAGAATCTGCTGGGGACCAACCACCAGTTCCTGGAACAGAATGAAAGAGAGACTTGTAATAATTCCTTAGACAGTTACCATTTCCTATGTCAAAGACCAATGATACTCTGTTCAGTAGTTAAGATACAATTCCTGCCTCTAAACTTAAATTCTTAATACATTCAGAACCAATTTTCTGCCTCATATTTCAGGGCACCAGGCTCAAGAAAAGTGCTGTGTTTATGATGCCACTCCTTTCTTTCCTCCTTCCTTCTTCTATTCTTCTCTCATTTGCTCCTTCTTTCCTTTGTTCCCCCCACATCAGTACTACAAATCTACTAGGAGACTTATATTTTACTGTGGATACAAAGATCAAAACAAAAACATTCATTGAGCCTTTCATGGGCATCATTTACTTATTTAACAATTATTCTCCATGTTCTCCATGAGGAGAATTCTGGACGAGAGGGAAAGAAAAGTTAAAAGAAAACCTGTGGAAAACCTGCACAGGATAAGAACAGAAGTTACAATACTGGCATAGGGAAGTACTCAGAAATGTCTTTGAAAGACAGAGACAGTAAAGCTGAATCCTGAAGGCAGGATGACCTGGGAAGGTGAAGATCAGCCAGAAAGTTGAGAAGCAGACAGTTCTGCAATCACCCATGCATAGGAAACAGAGGCGAGAATGGTATATAAACAACCACAGTTCATGAAGAAATCTGGCAAATTTCATGTGTAATCCACTCTACCAATATGCACAAGGACTTTGTAACAGCTACTTGGCTCCTAGATCATTTATGAAATTTGATATTCATAGATAATCAATATTTTTTATCTCAGAATTGGAAGCCTCAAAGTTTTTGTCTTCATCTGAAGTAGGAACAAATAAATCAGTATAAACTTTTGCTAACTGTTGAATTCCCAAGTGTTTTGAAACCTGGGATGAGGGTTATTGCAGAGTGATTGGTGGAAATCAATTATTTTGCTTGTCATTTTGTTCAGAACAGGAGGGGAGAGTACTACTAAGCACAATATAATACTTAATAGACTCTCTTTTTCTCCTTAAGCTTTCATGCTAATTCTCTTGATGCTCTAGTTTACCTCCCACCAAGTAGTAGAGCATTTATTCAGACCTCTGCCTGGAAGATGAAGGGCTTTCTGTATTCTGATCCCCACTACACATTTGTTCAGGCCCAGGCTTAACTCATGGACTTTCTATATCCTGGCTTCCAATGCACAGTTCCTCACTGTATTAGACTAAATACTAAATATATTGATAGTAGAACTGAAAGAAAACAGGCAGAAACCTTACTGATTTCAAGACATATGTAGGATATAGGGACTGACTTCAAGTATCAGCTTGTCTCTAGTATTCTTATTTGATAAACTTTCTTTTATTTCCACTAAATAAGAATCAAACAGGGATGAAAATGTTCCATGTTCGTCATCTATTCTGAAATATATTCTTCTTAGAGGTTGGTATGCCACAAACAAGATAAATACTTCGACATACTGATTCTACACTCTTTTCATATTAAGAGGTCTGTGTGTGTGTGAGTGTGTGTGTGTGTGTGTGTGCGTGTAGGGGTGACTGATTTCTTTCTTTCTTTGTATAATATTTCTTTCTTTCCATAGTATTACAGGTATGACCACAAGACTAAGTTTTCAAGAATAAAAGCTGTAAGTAGACTGAGATTACCCTCCTTGACTCCAGTTTTCCCCTTCCTGTGGAAGATACAGTAAATGAGACCTACATGATGCTGAAACAATTTCTGGGAAAGAGGCTGGGAGTCTACACCATTGTATGCTCCCATGTACTTTTAAGACTGAACCAATCAACAATGGGGATAAGAATCAACACTTTTCTTGATCCAGATACTTTATACTGAAATTTACTGTGGTCAGTCTGCTTTACTACCCCCACAATGTCCTATAAAAGAAATAGCATCCATCTCCTGACAGTGGAAGAAAGAAATGCAGAGTTTAAAAAAAATCAGACAGTCTGGATTCAAACACAATTCAGAGACTTCCAGCTCCTTATTTTTAATATTATTTTGTAACAGAAAAATAATGTGTCTAAATCCCAAAAAATCTGAGGCTGAGGAGATGATTTAGTGTGAAAAGAGCATGCAGCTAAGCCTGATCAATTGACTTAAATCCGGAAAACTACATGGTAGAAAGAGGGAACTAAATTTACTAAGTTGTTTCCCATGAATACATCCACACTCACACCCCCTTACAAACACACACACACACACACACACACACACACACACACACACATTCACAAATTTAGAATGATGGAGGCATTAATAAAGAACTGTAAATAGTAGAACAGGAAGGGTTCAGTGTGGTGGAAGATGGGAAGGTAGGGTAAGGAATAAAAAAAAACATGATGAACCTTTGAAAATGGTATGTCAAAACAATTACTGTTGAAGCTTTCTACAATATATACATGCAGATATACAAAATCAGTTTCACTGCAGTTAGCCTATAATGGAAGAAAATGTTTCTCAGCATACTATAGACTCTCAAACAAAAAGATCAGGCCTAGGGCATTGTTTAACTATATGTTAACTGTTAATCAGTTTGTTCAGTGGGATTCCGTACTTCCCTAAAAAAACCTACAGCTGTTGACATTGTTCTTTGTTGCCTTCCAGATCTTGAACGAAGGACACTATTGTAGAATATTCAATATACTTGAGTCACAAGACATGAGGAAATTAAACTTGAATTAATTTTGAAGCTTCATCCATATTGACTACCATCCATCCACAGTGCTGGAAGGTGGTATAATGTCTACTGGAGGGTGGGGGTAGTAGTCATCATTCATAACTAGCTGTGAATCATGTAAGCTACAATAACCATGGCCTTGGTAAGTCATTCCCACTGTTATAGTAATGGCATAAATGTCATGGGAATAACAAACCATTTTCTGACTGGACATAAGTCTTGTTTCACAAGACCCAAACCCAAGGCTAGTTCTGTTAACTATGTCAAAACCCATGGTCAGGCTTTAAATCCTGCTCTACAGGATGTAACTCATGGCTGCTACTCTTAATTGGGGCAAGAACCCATGGCTGTCTTGATCATAGGCCACAGGGGAGATCCTAATACTATTATTCTGCTAAGTGAACATAGTAATAAACTGCTCCATAAAATCTTATCCTTATGCCCCGAAATCACATAAATCAGTACACTTCTGAATCCTCATCAGAAAAGCTTTTTTTTTTTAACAGTAGATGAAGATAATACAGAGACTCACAACTGTTCTACATGGAGAGAACAGAGAATCTGGAGTGCTCAACTCTAAAGGGTCCAGTTATAGAAGATTTCCTTTCCCCTTGACCCTGGCATCATGTGGGAAGAGGGTGGAAAGAGGCCTTAATGTCACAGTCAATGTCTGTGGTGAAATAGTGTTTGTCAGGTATGACTGTTCACTTATGAACTCACAGCTACTATAAGTTCAAGACATAAAATCTCAGCATGGACAGGGAATGTCATCAGGTGCAACTGATGGCTTTCATGAGAGAAAGCACCATATTGCTTCAAGGATGTGCCCCTGAGAATCTACACATGCATAGTAGATGAACTTATGGCCGTGTTTATGCAGATAACATTAAGTTACTAAGTAAGTTCAGTGGATTTAAAATTACACACAACAATAACAGCAACAACACAAAATGTAAAAACATAAAGGTGGAAGGGATAAACACTAGGGGGCATAGAAGAGGAACTGGAGGGGAGGTGATAGGTTTGATCAAATACATTATATGATGTATGTATTTCTTGGTCTATAATAGAGAAAACCAAATTCAGTAAAGAATAATAGTCATGGAAAGAAGCATTTGAATCTCCAGTAATTCAGCTGCAGTAATGCACATTTGCTGTTCCTATTATCTTCCTCACCACACTCAAAAATCTCAACCACTGCTCTCACCTCTCTGCTAACTCATCAGAACTGAAAAAGGTGCAGATTTTATTTTCTTACAAGTGCAAACTAATTCTGAAACTATTCATTATGCCCAGCCTTTCCTGCTGCTCATTTCAGAAACTTTGCTGTTCTTAAGAGATTAAAAATTCAAAGTGATTTTAAATAGTCTTACCACAATAATTGTAAACCTTGACAGAAAATGGATGTATGATGTTATTTTTTTCTGAGTAGTTAGACAGGTTGATTTGTACGTTCTTTTTGCATGTAGCATTTTCCTTTAGTATATCTGTATAATAAATAACTAAAGTTAATAAGATGCTTATTATGGGCAGAATAATGCACGACTCTGGCCCTTTTGAATGATGTTCACTAGTTTGAAATAAAAAATTTCAAACCTATATAATTCGCTTTTCATTGCTAATAGTTCCCAACTGGACCTCTTGATCATGCTTTAGGATTTTTCTTTTTTATAAATATATACACAAAGGAAAAGTTAGGAAAAAATAATTCTAGGGTAAGAGTTAAACATCAAGTAAAGTGCTTGCTGTGCAAGACCTGAATTTGAATCCCAGTACTCATATACATCCTGGACAGATGTGGTGACCTAATTGTAATCTCAGTGCCCAGAGAGTAGAGGCAAGGGGCTCCCCATGAAAACTGGCAAGTTGAACTAACAGGGTCAGTGAGCATTTGGGTCAGTGAGAGATTCTGCATCCGAATTAAATGAACAGCAATGAATCACAAGCTATTGAGGCTTGGTCCTCAATTGCACACCTGCATACATGAACATGCATCTCCCCACATAGATGTACACACACACACACTCACACACACACTGTGCATGCTCATAAAAATAAAGTGTAGCAGTAAATATGTACCCTTTATGAAAAAAAATCAATCGATTAAATGAAACAGAGGCAAAACTAAAACAATGAGATATTTAGTTTAGTTTGATTTAATTCCTTCAAAATTCTCTGAAGAAAATCACATTTTCCTTTTATTTAGAGTAAGAGTTGATAGGAAAAGCCAACTTTCCTGAAAATGAACCAGAATGGAACAGTTGTTCAGTTTAAGTGCTTAGCATGAAGGGCTACTCACTAGTTGATAATTGCTTAGG